TATACTCTACCCTGCGCTCAAGATATACCAATTGAACTTGAACATTTGTGCTGTCAAAACTGTTTGAGCAGAAACACCTAATATATTGTATTAATGTCTAATTCTTATTGTAATTCTTGAATGGCTTTTTTGTTTTCAGTTCTAAATCTTAATAATCCAGCTGGGTTCAGTGTTTTCATTTTCAGCAAGATGGTGTTTGTATTGATATTTTCTCTCTGCTTAGATGTTAAGTCGAGGAGGTGGCGGCAGTAGGTGTGTGGGTTTTCTGGCATCACCAGTGTACAGGGTCCATACGGTGCATCTCAATTAAATTAGAATATCATGGTAAAGTTCATTTATTTCATTAATTAATTCAAAAGTGAAACTCATATAATTATAATCATTCCATTACACACAGAGTGAATATATCAGGCACTTTATTTCTTTTAATTTTTGATTTGATTATGGCTTAGGTTAAACAGCTTAACAAAACCCAAAAATTCAGTATCTCAGAAAAATTTAATATTAGTATATCTTCAATATTGTAGACTCACGATTTCACACTCTAATCAGGTTACATTACTCAAAACACTGCAAAGAGTTTCCAGAGCCTTTAAATGGTCTTTCAATCTCGCATGGTCTTGGTTCAGTAGCTACACAATCATGGGGAAGGAGCTGCTGCTTGCTGAAGTTGCCAGAAGGTCATTGGCCAACCTCAAGAGGGAAAGCCACAAAAGGTCATTGATAAAGAAGCTGGCTTGTTCAGAGTGCTGTATCCAGCATATATTCTAGAAAGTTGAGTGGCGGAAAAGTGTGTAGAAAAGGTACACAGGCAGCAGGGATAAGCGCAGCCTTGAGAGGTACTTTGGTGAAGAACCCCCATTCAGAATTTGGGGAGATTCAACAAGGAGTGGACTGAGGGCTGAGTCAGGGCTCAAAGAGCCACCTCACCCAAGATGTGTGCAGGACATGGGTACAACTGGACAGAGAGACGTTTACCTGGGCTAAAGAGAAGAGGGGGACTGGACTGTTGTCAGTGGTCCAAAGTCCCGCTTTTCAGTATGAAAGTGAAGTTTGCATTTGCATTTGGGATCAGGTCTTCTCCAAATCTGGAGGAAGAGGGAAAGGCACAAGAATCGCAAATTGCTTGAAAGTCGCAGTGTAGTTTCTACAGTCAGTGCTGATTTGGGAGCATGTCATCTGCTGGTGTTGGTTCATGTGTTTATCAAAGTCAAGTCAACGCAGCATCTCCCAGGACATTTCTTAGAGGCATTCATGCTTCTTTTTGCTGATAAAGCTTATGGAGATTGTGATTTCACTTTCAGCAGGACTTGGCACCTGCTCACGACTGCCAAAGGTACAATACCTGGTTTGAATTAGCCATGGTGTTATCGTGCTTGATTGGCCAGCAAACTCCGCCTGAACCTGAACCTTAGAGAATCTATGGGCTATTGTCAAGAGGAAAGATAGAGACACCAGACCCAACAATGCATGCACAATGAGCTGAAGCGCTATCAAAGCACCATGGCTTCCATAACACGTCAGCAGCTTCAGCAGGCTGATTGCCTCTATGGCCATGCTGCATTTGATGGAATAATTAATGCTAAGAGGAGCCCGCCAAGTATTGAGTGCATATATGAACATACTTTTGCGTAGGCCGACATTTCTGTATTAAAATGTATTGGTCTTATGGAATATTGGAAATATTCAAATTTTTTCTGAGATACTGATTTTGGTTTTGTTGCATAAGCATAATCCATCAAAATTAAAAGTAATAAAGCTTGAAATATTTCACTCTGTATGTATCGAATCTATAATGAGTTTTCAACTTTTTTGAAATTGATTACTGAATAAATGAACTTTGTCATGATATTTAAATTTATTAAGATGGCACCTGTACTCAATGAAACTAGTTATTGTCCACGCTTTTCCTGAGTAGGTGAAGCAGCAGTATTTTTAGTATTTTTGCAAAATCAAGGCAGATCAGTTTCAAAGTTGGCTAAAGTAGATTGAAAGGAACCAAGAAGAGCACCAGAATATTTGTTCTTTTTATAATGTATATCATTGTTACAGTCGTTAGAAACAGCTGAATCAGTGTGCAGTGGAACTCGTCAAAGACTCCAGCTAATTTGCGTGACCCTATTGAGTCATCTTGTGCTATTTCCTCCAAATGACACAAGATTAAAAATCAATCACATGCCCATGCCACAATAATGTAGCATCCTTTTATAATAAAAAGATTTTATTATGAAGTGAAAATGAATATGTAACAGTTGGGGGATGGTTGCTGAGAAAATAGCGTTCTTGGACACATAATTAAACAAATCTAAGATACTTTGTACCCTGTCATGTAGTGACTGCAAAGCAGTTAGATTTCTTTATTACCACTACACAGTATGTATGGCAGCACATTAATCATAGATCGCGACTCTTGAATCAGCCACATGATATTAGAAAACACACTGATGATTTGGTTAATGCTTGTGAAATGGCCTAAATAATGTTATCGTAGTTATAATCTACGAGGTAAAAATATTTAGAACTAGTGAACTTTCACAGCCACGTGACCCTAATATACATGTGATCATGCTGCTCATGATACCCAGTTCATCCAGTGGTGGAATGTAATTAAGTACATTTATCTCAAATAATGTACTTAGTATAAATGTGACAGTTGGCGTGCCGGTCTCTCTATAATGTGGTACACTGAATCATTGTGTGGTACTGGCCTTCACACTGGATCCAGTTGTGCATTCCTGCACTGACAGAGAAGGAAGATATTTACAGCAGAACACTTTTTTTTATAAGTGTGGAGATGTAATTTGTATGTGAAGTATGAGATTTTTTTTTTTAATATAATTCATAACATCTAATATTGGAAAGCTTTGCTGACTTATTCTGTATAGCACACACTTTACTTGTGCTTCTAAAGTGATAAGCAGTCAATTAAAATAACACATGTGGGCAGCCAGGTTAATGATAAATTTGTTATTTTGTATGCATTATAAATACAAAAAAACATAATTATCCTGTTTTTTATGAATTTGTTTCTGCATGTGTGTATCTTTGATAACGCGGTGGACTTCATCCTAGGACGGATTCTCCAAATTACAATTCCGATTGGTAAGACCACCTCAAGGTGGGCAGGCATTGCATCTATAGAATTAGTTCATCGGATTAGACAATTATTGGGCAGTTCTTAATTAAACGCATGCTGACTCTACAGATAGATAACCTAGAGCTTCAGCATTCTCAACCTCTCGATGACGATGACGTGTTAGATGTGATTCCAAAATCAGATTGTTCTTAGCCAATTAACAGACCAGTGGGAATATTGATTTCCCATCACTATCACACTGTGGGATGGCGGGAGACATTGCTGCATCAGGTGGAGGTCACAGTTGAAAAATGATACAATACGCTAAGTTGGACTAAGAACGTAATCAATTCAAATGTAAACAATGCTTGCTTTTCACGGATATAACACAAGAGAGGCAATTAAAATAGACCTATGGTGGGTTCATAAGCCTTAATGAGGCACCTGGTCACGTTGAAGTGTTTGTCCAATTCATCATACATGGTCGCGCATGTGTTCTCGTGGAACTCACGCGGACGCAGGTCTGTACCTCAAACTCAACCCCATGGTAACTGGGGAACCTTGGGCCAAGCGAAAAGGACAGCCCTTACTTCAATCTTTTGATAACTCAGAATAGGGATTAGGTGTCAACAGCTACATAATCAGTGCATCATGATCTTAACGTATTGTGGCAGCTCTCTACCTAGCAGACGATGTGAGCGACAGGTGGTGGCTGTCCAGGGGGTTTGTTAAAAAAAAGAAACCCAGGTATGTTTGATGTTCCCGACGTCTCTTCCAAACCTTCTTGTGGTCTGAATGACCTGAATTTACGAGTCCTCAGTGTTCACTGTCAGAGCAGCAGTTCTTAGTCGGCTAAAGGTCCACACTGGAGTAGAGACAAAAGTCATGACCAATAGGTGACAGCAGGACACGCAAGTTTTGGATTTTGTTGTTTCTTTGTGGTTTAACTTCAGTTTAGTGTAGATAGTGTGATATACTTTGGTTTTTGACTATTTTTTGGTTTTGTTTTTGTTAACTTTTTGTTAGATAAAGTTCGCTGATCTGCTTTGGTATACTGTGGAGTCGTATTATCTAAGGTAAGCAATACACTTTGTTTCTGTTTACTACAGTATTCGGTATTTGGCAATAACACACTATTAAACTTACTTTCAAAAGCCTTTTATATATTTTTAAAAGCATTTCTAAAACGGAAAGTTGATATTGTATTTTTCTACAGGAACCCTAACTTTCCATGGTTTTTGTGTCTACCTGACAATTAGAGCCGAATTTATTTTAATTGCTCGCAGTATTGAGCGACGAGCACTAAGCCCAGCAGCCATGATTGGGTCCTGTAATCTTTCAGGGCACAATTGGCACCATCAATATATGCCTCTAAAAGTGCTTGTTTAGCACTGGCAGGCCTCAGATTAACCTGTAAAAAAAACCAAAGTCAGCACAATCACCCAATATACGACCATGGCAGGCGGTAGACCAGCAACTCAAAACTCAATACCAGATCAATTCAACCCATTGTCCCCAGTAATCACTTAGACATCAAAGATATGGCAAAATATCCAGCTAAAAAGTACTGAAAAATTCCCTTTAACCTGACATGACCAAAAATGAGAAATGTCTCTTTAAAATTTGAATATTCATTTAAAAATGTTTGTGTGTGATTTTAACTAAGCTCCGAGTGTTACTCACTTGGGTTTCTTTGATTGAAGCTGGCATCAGACCACCGCAGCTTGACTGCTTCATCATGGAAGACTGAGATGTCCTGAGTGCTACTCCAGCTCACCCAGCTTCTGGTGGATGATAGCAAGACGGACCAAAAAGAGTAGTGTTTGGTATTAGCATCCGGACAACTTTCTTCTTGCAATAATTTGGACATTCACCACAAAGCCTGAAAATAGTGACAGCTTTGAAGTTGTCTCGTTTCAATTTCTCACTCACATTTCTACAAAAAAGAGAAAAAAATGTCTCACAAAAGAGAAAAAAAAGTCTCACAAGAAAGATTCACGGCTGACGCTGATTTTGGGTCTCTGACCAGGTTGAAAATGGGTTCCTGGTTTGTCGCTGATGTTGAAGCACAGAGCGTGTCTCCTCTCTGGCAGCTGCGATCATGAAATGAGGTCTCAATCCACTGCAACAGCATGCATTAAGTTAATTCATACGATGGAACATAATGATTTATTTTTGAGAGAAAAACAATAGCATTATGATCTACCTGTGTTTTAATCAATCTTAGTCTTCTATGTCTCAATAAAAAATTTAAAGAAGACTTTCAGTAAAAAGTGTAAGAACCATGAAAGCTAAATACTGATATTATGCAATAGCTGTATGAAGAATTCTTTCCATTTGTCGGGTACGGGAACTGGCAGCACTTGACGGGGAGTGAATGCTGCCAAAATAACTAAAAGCATTACGTCAGATAAAGTTGTTCAGCAAAAAAATGGATCAAAAAGTAGAAAAACGGGTTGAGTACCCACGCGTTTATTTGCTGGTCTGTGGACACAAGCAACAGTTAGAACATACACAAGGTGATAGTCTAGATGTTCTTAAAGACAAATTTGTACAGTCAAACTATGCTGTATGAAAAAGCAATACTATTTGATTGTCCACGGAATGGCAGACTGGCTGAAGAACCTGTTTATCAAAAAGTAAAAGGTTAATAATGAAAGGTGTCTACGGAAGCCATGACAGGGCAAGAGAGAATAACACATTTGGTCTGTCTGATCTAATAGTTTTCCCCCTGGTGTTTATGACTTAAAGGTCAGTGTGTGTCTGAATTGGACAAAATGTGCCAGTACCCTAATTTAGGCACACACTAACCCTAACCTATTTATTTGGCTGTTTTTTATCCTTATCACCCAAGGATATTTTAGTGCTGTTTCTAACGTTAGCTAGCTATGTCTTACACAGGAAGACACAGTTACGCAAGTATTTAGGAGTACCCTCACAGATTCTTTGTATGTAGGGTTTCTTTATCTACAAAGGGAGCGGGTCTTGAACTCCATGTTTCTACAGTAGACCAAAAAAGTTAACAAACATTCACTCTAATTGGGTCGCTTTGGTCGCACGTTTTGTGGGCCGCATAGTTTCTCCTAAAACTTGGGAGGTAGTATTATCCATATTGGTTGTAATCTGAATCTTTCATAGCTAGATGCAACTGAAATCCTACTCAGTGGTCCTTTAGACAGGGGAGGAAAAAGGTTTTGCAATGAAGTTTGTTATTTTTGGTCAGATTACATTGTGTTTGTTGTCTGTAAATATAGATTTTAACCACAAGAGGCTGAAGATTCACTAAGAGAAGAGAAGAAGTAAGAAGAAAGAGAGAAGAAGAAGAAGAGATATATTTTATTGAACTCCCTAGGGGGGAAATAGTTTTTTTCCCTTTCTTTTATACCAGGCTGAATTCCTTCATTGCATCTGTGGACATGCTGCGCTTAGCCAGTGCCCTGAGCAAAGGTGTTTTCGGGGTTAGGTTGCATTGCTCAAGGAACTCAGCAGTGCAGTAGGAGGTGAAACTGGCACCTCTCCAGCTACCAGTCCACACTCCATATTTTGTGGTCTGTGGGACTTGAACACTGAGCTACTGCCCCCCCTGCTACCCTACTACCCCATGTTCTATAATAAGACTAAACTCCTTCCAGGTGAATTTTTATTTCTCAACCAAGCACAGGGTAGGCTACATGTATTGTGTGTTAGCAAGTTTGTTACAAATTGTTGTTGCTGAAATTAGTATTACAACAACAAACACTTTTTAAACTGGTCGATCACCAGGATTTTTTCCCTTACTTGCCTGTTAAGGCTTCTGTATTCAGCCCAAAATTAGATTTATGAAGTATTTTATATAATTAAGTAAAAAGAGATTGTCATACTAATCTGTCTGTGTCCTTGTGCCGTTTTTGGATGGCCTGTGAAACAGGGCAACAGACAACACACAGTTAGTTGGAGGTCTTCTAATTCTAATTACACAAACTGATTAAACACATTTCTAATAATCTAACAATGTGCTTTGAAAAGAAAGAATATTGTGGTTTACTTGTCAAGCATACATCAATAAAGTTGTTCATCCCAAAATGAGATTTTTAAATTATGACATATAATTAAGTTAAAAGAGATTGTCGTACTACCATGTCTCTCTGCTCTCTGTCGCTGGACTGTGAAACATAGCAAAAGTTAGTTGAAGGTCTCAAACATGTCACATACTGATTCAACAGGTTTCTAATAATGTAACAAAATGCTACAGAGTTCAAAGGAGAGAATACAGTGGCTTACTAGTCACTTTAGCAGCACACTGTCACTTCTTTCTGTTTCCCTTACCCTCAGTCAGTTTATCTGCAATGAGAGGGCTGTCTGGTCCATCCTCTGTTTCAGGCTTGGTGACCACCATGGAGGTGAGGGGGGTGACGAAGCTGTATCGCAGAGCCATGTCCAAGGCCTTGGCTGTCGCAGCGTCTTTCTCCTGCTGAGTACCAATGTCACTGGGAAGTAAATAATGAAAAGAGGAGTTTGTTGGCTGGTTGTTTAATAATGACAATTGGCACAAGTTTCTTTGAGTAATCGACAAAACAGTAAAACCTGCTTTTTGATTTTAGTGCAGATACAGATAACGTTTAGAGACACAATTGAGATGATCGAACCTCTTTGCCAGTAGTTGTTGGATGGTGAGGTAGGCCCACAGACGTTCTGAGAAATTCCCAAAGATGTACTCTTGTTCTGGGTAGCTCACTTCCAAGTTTACCATACTGGCCTTTCCCTGTGCCCTGAAGTCTGTTTCAGGCTAGAGAAAGAGGAGAGATTAAATAACAAATATTACTGACAAGAGAGGAAATTAAGAGTATCTTTTGACATCAACACTAAGAATCTCAAACTTCATCCTACTCTGTGCAGCTTTACTGAGGTAAATGCTAACATCAGCATGCAAACATGCTCACAATGACGATGCTAACAGGCTGATGGTATAATGGTATAATGTCTACCATGTTTTTCATCTTAGATCAGCTTTTTAGCATGCAAACATTTACTTAGTAGCACATTCTATACCAAATACCAAAGTATTGAACAAATAGAAATTTTGACCTGAGGATGAAGCCTGAGGAAAAGGGACCACAAAAGTCAATAGGACTCATCCTCTGGGGACCATAAGTACAACATTTCATGGCAACCCATCTAGTGGTTGTCAAGTGTGTTTCTTAGTATATGAGAACAGGTGCATGGGTGTCCATTCAACACCATGACTAGTTAGTGTCTTATTCATGTTTTAATTGACATATTGCTGTCTATTTCTCACCCCCTTAGCGAACACTTCCACCAAGAAGTTATCGGGGTCGTCGTTTATCAGCCGACCAGACACCACAATCTCTGAGCCGTTAAACAACTGGCTATAGTGGTTTTTGGTCAAGTGGTCCACTGCGTTGTCAGGATAATGCAGGTCCACGTCCAAGAGCAGAGGGCTGGACACCTCCTCATAGAAACCCTGGAAGACACATTGCACGTCATACAATATCTGTTTCCCAAATGTTCTTGGAGGTGCAAACAAACATAAAATACCAAACTTGCATGGACATTATATTTGCTGTAAATCAGTATTTTGTTCTCTACCTGTAGTTGAAGTGTTGCATCTGAACCCTCAAAAATTCTTCGGGCCAGTCCTTTGTTTTGTCTGCTCATCACATCCAGGAAGGAGTAATCCACATTATTTCCGAATCCAAGACAGAACAGAGACATGTTTCCTCCAATAGCAGAACGCACATTTTCTTGGATCTTCGGAAGCCTAGACTCTCCTTTAAACACGCATACATGTATTATGTACGGGAAAAGATCAGATTCAGTTCCAATATGATGTTAATATTATGTTAACATGCTACCAAGATTATTCAAGAGAGTGTCAACTTTTTAAAAGCTTCAAATTCTACAATGAATCAGATGGTTGCATTTACAAATTTAAGCTGCTGTACTTGGTCTACATACAGTGACCTCTGACCTTTGAGAATGAAATATTATCTTCCAA